TCCTTGTTCTCACCATTTTTTTTATCTATACACCGAATAAGGTGAAATTTAGATCTTCATTCACTATAGATATTCAAATCATCCTTATCACTCCGAAACGATTACATGCTAGTTCTAATATCGTAGACATACGCTTAGAATCCTAAACACATAAACCTTCAGATCTGGTTGGCAACAAACCGTAGATCCGAACAAATAATATCATATATGGCAACATAAAACATTTAGCACATAAAAGCATTTTAGGCAACTTTCCTAAAATAAACTAGTGCTTGTGTCTAAAACTTAACAGACACACACCTCACAATCTCCACTTAGCATTCTAAGTTTAAGTTTAGAAATCCTACAAATTCCTAGTTCGCTTAAACTAATGCTCTGATACCAACTGTGACATCCCCAAAATCACGGCCAGAAAAGACCGATTTCATTTATGCTTTTTAAAATAATTTCAGAGTAAATCCTTTTGATTTAAAAGTGTTGCGGAATTTGTTCCCAAAACAAAACATGATAAAATAATATTTATCAAAGCATTTCATCAAGAGATGCATTTTCATTATATAATTAAAACTTGGGGTGTCATGTTCCGATACAGACCATAAAGCATAAACGATAACATTACAAGTCATTCAACAAATATATACATATACAGACTTGTAAACAAAACAACTCGATGATTCATCCATCTTACGCCCTTGCGCCACTTCCTGTAATACAAATAAAACTGAGTGGGTCAGGCTTGGGAGCCTGGTGAGCATATAGGGTTTTCAACCCACAATAAATAAATTATATTTAATTTCACCAACCAATCACTATCCCGATTACCCATTCCCGTTATCCTCACTTTACGTCCCTAAAACAACATCTATCTCAAGGGACCTAATCTAGGATTTTCATCGGGACGGACATTACTGCTAAGGGGTTTCCTCAACAATAGATATCCTAAAGGCAACCATGAGGGGGATAGAGTACACCGGTGAACACATCGTTCACAACACCTACAGGTTATGAACCTGCTAGCGTTCCACGAGACTGTCTAGAAGGAGTCTGTGGTCGTTATCCATACTCCGCTGAATAACTAGGTCAACAACAACAACATCGAGGCCTCTCATCTGTTTATTACACACCAACTATCTACCCATGTTCTACCCAACATATTAGTAGATAAAAATATATATTTTTATACATAGTTTAAAACCTGTATAGCATTTTCATTCAATACATATTTCACATAACAGATGAGGCATACCCACATAACACGTATTTCATAGAAAACAAATCAGATCTATGAGATTGAAGAGAGTGAATATACATTCACGTACATAACAACAAAATTACACATAACACGTATTTCGTATAAAATACTTCATAATTATGCGTTAGAAGAAAGTAACTACACACTCACTTGATCAGAAGATGATCGGACAGCACTACGGCTTGTAGAAGTAGTAATCCTCAGCAGATCTGGAAGATCTCTACAAAAATCGAACTTCTCGCGGACAGAGCTTCGGCTCGGAAATCGCACTTCTCGGGATCTTCGGGCTTCGACTTGCTTCGGGGCTCGGGAATATTACCGGGGCTTCGGGGTACTTATGGCACGCAAATCGAGGTAAAACGGGAGAGAGAAGAGAGAAAAATAGCAAAAGAACTCGGCAGCCTCACATCCTATTTATAGGAGCTAGGCCTCGGGTTTACGCGGGGCGTACAAGGGTACGCGGGGCGTACGCCTAAGTTCGTAAGCGCATGCGTCATCTGAAGAACTCGAGTGCGAGTGTCGACATACCTTGGGTACGCGGGGCGTACTTCGGATGAGTCCGATGACTCGTCTTCGGATAATACCGGGATTTAATAATTAAATTTAATTATTAATTATTTAATAAACTTCGAAAATTCATATCTTCTTCATACGAACTCCGTTTTCGACGTTCTTTATATCCACGCGAAGGTGAGACTACGCTCTACAACTTTCGTTTAGACTCCATCGGCTAATTTTGACTTTATTTTTATTATTTATTTTTAATAGGCCGGGACAGAAAATTTCGTTATAAATTCATAACTTCTTCGTTTGACGTCCGTTTTCGCCTAACTTTTTATCGCTTCGATACTAACAACGAGATCTTCGATTCTCGTTTAGATAACTAAGGCTAAATATCTCTCTAATGTAAATTTCACTTTTTACGTGATTCAGCGTTGCCGGTTCTGTCGCGAAACTTCGACAGGTCATAACTTCTTCGTTATAACTCGGATTTGGGCATTCTTTATATCTTCAGAAACCTTGTTTCAACTACTACAAAATTATCCAAATATATCAAGTTTATTTTACACTTAAATTTTGTCGCTTATTTTTATTCTTAATTAATCAAACCACATAATTAAGCAATTAAGCACAAAACACATAATACTCAAATAATACATTTCTATTATTTCAAAACGGGTTACAAAGGTTAACCTAGACTATTATATCATCATTAATGACAGGCCTAGAAACACAGGCGTTACAGTCCCAATAGTCAAGTAGTGGGCCAAAACCCAACATATAACCCAATTTTCCAAATTAGGCCCAACCCTTGACATGGGCCTTACCTTAAGGCACAACCAGCTATTCTGGTCCAAATACTTGGCATTCCGATGGTGCAATATCTCATAATCATAAAAGGCCCAATTATGGCCCAAGTTTCCAAATTGGGCCCAAGACTCTCACATGGGCCTTATCCTAAAACCCATACAATTATTTAGTCCATTTACTTATTCTTGGAAAGCCCTTTAATAGTCCAATCACCAAAGCCCAATAGAAAGACCCAAGTGAAATTAGGGTTTCCACATGAAATGATGATTAGGGTTAAGTGTTTCTTGCTTAACCCATTAAGGACTTAATCCATTAAGTCCAATATTGCCTTAGGTTAATTTGCCAAAGACTAGTAATTATTATTTTAGGTTTAATAATTAATTCTCGTGCGGTCCCGATCAATCCCAAAATTAGGGTTTCAAGGCATTAGGGTTTTCCAAACCCTAATTAGGGTTTCCAACTCAATTACTAGCCCATTAATCAAATGGTTGAGATTTTAGGTCAATTAGGGCTTCATTGGGCCCATTAGGGTTTCATTGGGCCCACTAGGATTTCATTGGGCCCGTTAGGGTTTCATTGGGCCCACTTTGTCCAAGCATCCCCAAGCGAGTCAAAACGCAAACGAGGCACACCGCCACCTAACACGGCGACAGGTGGCGGCAGCCACCACCTCACGGTGGTGGTTATGAGTTTCCTTTTATTATTCTTATACCAATTACAATACAATTTACAATAATATCGAAATAACACACACACACACTCATAAAATAACATACACACATAGCCACTCTTGTGGTGGCCGGTGGTGGTTCATGGTGGCAGAAGAGCAGCATCCGACCGACAGCCACCATGGTTGGCTACCATGGTAGCTCTAAACGTTTTCCGGCCAAAATAAACACCTTGACCGGATCACCCAAAGGTACACACACAAACCCCGGAACAGCTACACCACCACCCACCTAGTGGTTCACGGTGATGTCAGCAACAACTCTAGTATCCACAACGGCGGGTGGTGGCGGTACAGAAGAGTAAGGAGGTGCCAACTAACGGCGATGTCGACGAAGGTGATTTTGCGATGACAATAGAACGGAAAGGTGGCGGCTAGTTGCTGTGGGACGAGCTCCAAAGCGAGTGGTGGTTGGAATGGTACCGGCAACAACCGAGGGTGGCTGCGTACAGTGATAGAAAAGAGAAGAAGAAGAAGAGGAGAACAACGAAGGTTGGCAGCGACGCAATCGAGTTGGGCTCGTTCACAGCGTCTTCGTCCGCAACAATGGTCCCGGTGGCCTTTGGTTGATCGGAATAGGAAGAAGAAGGTCGGCTTGGCAATGGAGAAAGAGAGGTGACGACTGAAGTGAGTGTCACCGTTTAGGTTAGGGTTAGGTGAATGAAAGGGTTATAAACCCCGTCTACATTCAAACCCTTTTGCCATAAATATGCTTCCAGTCCTTCCTTCCCTTCTTCTTTCAAATTAAGTCCTTAATTTACAATCTAAACCCTCCCTTCTGAAAATCATTACATATCAAGTCAGAATACTTACCATATGGCCCCATAACCATTTTTTTCAACTTAGGCACATAATTCACCCTTTTAGCCCCAACCATCCAAGATCCTTTCAAATTAAGTCCGATATTTATTCTTTAGCCCCCGAAACTAACATTCCGATAATTATTATTTGATTATGGACTACAATAATATATAATAATAATAATAATAATAATAATAATAATAATAATTGCTTCTCGGGGTTCCAGGTTTATTATCTAATTATTATATTTTAAATGGGATGTTACAGCCGGGTATCTGGATGATCAGAGATCGATAGAAGGCTTTGTATATTTCTTGGCACAAATCTCATTTCCTGGTGTCCATGGAAGCAACGAACGGTCTCCTGCTCTTCCACTGAGGCGAAATATGCTAAACTTACTTGGCTTCAGAGCTGGGTGTTAGTACACATGCATCTCCAACACTTTGGTGTGACCATCTTGGTGCTACCTACCTCTCCGCCAATCCAATGTTTCACACTCGCACAAAACACATTGAAATTGATTTTCGGGAAAAGGTCTTTAGAGGTTAACTATGGGTTCAGTTTATTTCCACTAATGATCAAGTGGCTGATGTCTTCACCAAGCTACTACCAACACCAAGGTTTCAATTTCTTCGGTCCAAGCTTCAGGTCGTGTCCCGCCCTTAGCTTGTGGGGGCATATTAAACCAATGTTTAACAATAGTTTATAGTTAAGGGGTTAGTTTGCAAATATGTTTCCTGTATATATCTTTATTCAACGTAATGAGAAAAAGATTACCTTAATCAATTAAGGTTTGATAGAGAAGACCGCAGGGAGGAAAGAAACAGGGGAAATAAGACAACCAAAATCAGAAGCAGCGAAACTGATAATCCCAGGTCATATACACTCTTGTATTTCTTCTCAACTTCCATGGCCATCCTCACTGAATTACCAGAAGAACAAGAAGCGGCAGTAACATATGATGTTTTCCTGAGTTTCAGAGGGAAAGACACTCGACTAGGTTTTATGGATCATCTCTACCAAGCTTTGGTGAACGAAAACATCTCTACCTTTCTTGATGAGGAAGAGGTTGAAACTGGGGAAGAACTTAAACCCGAGCTTGCAAGAGCTATAAAAAGCTCTCGTGCTTCGATAATCGTCTTGTCTAAGAACTACGCATCTTCAACATGGTGTCTGGATGAGCTGGTGATGATCCTTGAGCAACGAAGGGTCTCTGACCATTTTGTTCTCCCCATTTTTTACAGCGTCGAGCCGACAAATATCAGGAAGCATGAAAGCACTTTTGGAGAAGCGTTATTTGAACACAAACAGAGGATTGAGTCCGAAAAGGATGTGGAGAAGAAAACTCAAGGTGCTCGTAAGTTGGAGATGTGGACGAAAGGACTTACAGAGATTGCTGATTTGAAAGGAAAAGATGCAACTGGAAGGTAAAACATTCATATTAAAAATCCCACAATCCATGGGGTTTAGTGTTGGAGTAATTCAAACTCTGGGACAAAAATAATCCAGGGGGTATTTTCATCACCTGATCACGTTTCTTTTTTGAAGGTTTCTAGAACAAAGACCTGCACTTGTTCTATTCTTGCATCTGTGTTTATTTACGATTGAAAGGCTTGGTTCCCAAAGTTTTTTGGTTATCTGTTCTTCCTTTCCTCTCCCCAGTTTTCTGTCCCTTTTGCATACCATTGTGAGATTTAGCTTTTTACCATTGTTGGGATGACAAGCTTTGTGGGGACTAAGCTGTCGAAACAGATACAAAGTGGCTCACCATTATGGTTAAACCGTGTGCATATTTTTATTTCAGTCCCTTAATTTCATATTAATTAAAAGGATGCAAAAGACTAGTTATTGATCAGTTGTATTAATTTGATATATGGGCTTCTGTGTCTTGTTGATCGAATTTGATTCCTTTTTCAGAAGAGAAACGGTGGTGATTGAAGAAGTCGTGAAAGAAATTAGTACTAGACTGGAACTACACTTGCAAAGGAGAATGAGAATCCCACACCTAATTGGGATGGACAATTCTATTAATTCCATCAGTTCCTGGTTAAAAAGAGGATCTTCTGAAATTCTCACAATTTGTGGAATGCCAGGGATCGGAAAAACAACATTGGCAAAACATATGTATTTGTTGCACTGCCATGAATTTGAAACAAGTAGCTTTGTTGAAGCCATTGGAAGAAGATGCGCAGAACATACATTTTCACTATTAGATTTGCAAAAACAGCTTCTTGGAGACATTCTCAAGAAAAGAAAGATTGAAGAAAATAATGCAGATATGTGCACATCTAAGGTTGAAAAGGCATTATCTAGGAAAAAGACATTTTTGGTTCTTGATGATGTTGATAACTTTGAGCAACTGGATGTGTTGATTGGAACAAAAGGTTTTCATCCAGGAGGCAAGATTATAGTAACAACCAAAGATGGGTCCCTAACAGAAAAGTGTTCATTGTTTCGTATGAAATTCCCTCCAAAACATACAAAGCATGCACTTCGTGTCTTAAGTGATACTGAATCTGTGAAACTTTTATGCTGGCATGCGTTTGGAAACAATGATCCCAAGAAAGGTTATGAGAAAGAAGCACAACAACTTGCAGAGTATTGTGGAGGACATCCATTGGCTCTTAAAGTTTTGGGTAGTTCATTAATTAATAAAGATGCATCCATATGGAGTGATGTCCTTGAAATGTTGGAGGCAAAAGGATATTTAACTGATGTACAAGAGAGTATACAAAAGGCTCTGCAAATTAGCTTTGATTCTTTATCAGGGGACTGCAAAGAACTTTTTAAGCACATTGCTTGCTTTTTTGTTGGAAAAGAAAGAGAAGTTACAGAAACAATATTAAAGGAATGTGGGTTTCCAACATCATATGGGATCAACAAGCTCATTGATAGATGTCTTCTCACAATTGGAGGAAGAAATGAGTTGAGGATGCATCAATTGCTTCAAGAGATGGGGAGAGATTTAGTCCGCAAAGAATCACCTGAAAAGCCATGGAAGCGTAGTCGAGTATGGAAACATGAGGAGTCCCTCGATTTGTTGAAAAAGGACAAGGTAAATACAACATATATAGTCATCATGAGTATTCGTTAGCTTTATCGATCATCTTTATAACGAAATGATTAATGTTTGTTTTGATTTTCTTTTTGATAGGGTACCCAAAGAATTCAAGGTCTTATCCTTGACACGAACTTATTGAGAAAGGAGCATAACTTCAAAGATGATGACGTGAACAAGATTTTTAGAGCTGATCAACCAATCCAGATGGTGTATGAATTCTTTTTAAGGATTTGGTTGTTTTTTGCTCGGCTTCTCCTAATGCTTTCATCTTCTCATTGCAAAAAAGTGGAATTAAGAACAGATGCATTAAGAAAGATGGATAAGCTAAAGCTGCTCCAACTCAATCATGTCAAAATCGACGGTTCTTACAAGAATTTTCCAAAAGGTTTAAGGTGGTTGTGCATGCATGGATTCCATTCAAAATTCATACCTTCAGACTTACCAATGGAAAATTTGGTTGCTCTTGACATGTCTTACAGTAATCTGACACAGCTTTGGAAGAAGCCCAAGGTATGAAATTAAAGCTTTTACTTAAATTTTTAGACAATTAATATCTTCGTTACAATATTCTTGATTCGAGGATATCCAATGCAACAGCTTCTTGGGTCATTGAAGATTCTTAATCTGAGTTATTGCAAGATTGTTAGAGTTGAAGGCTTCTCTTGGCTACCTGCACTTGAGAGGTTGATTCTTATAAACTGTAAAAGCTTGGTTCATGTGTGTGAGTCAATTGGCGGATGTGATGGCCTTGTTATTCTTGACTTGAGCTACTGCAATAATCTTAGTAATGTTCCAATTAGCATCAGCAAGTTAAAGAAGATTAAACGTCTATCACTAAACGGTTGCTTAGGTGCTAGTGAGTTTCTAATGCGGATGAAGGATATGGAGTCATATGCATCTTCCTCTTCTATTGGAGAATTTTTACCGAAAACTCCAAAATCATTTTTAGTACCCTCATTAGTAACCTTATCACTTATAGGCAATAATTTATCTAACGAATCCTTTCCGAAGGACTTCAGTAGCATGTCAATGTTGAAGACATTATATCTAAATAAGAATCCAATTGATTCCCTGCCTGATTGTGTGAGAAGCCTTAGCAAGCTTGAGGAACTCCATGTTGGAGAATGTTGGATGTTGAAGTCGGTATTGTGCCCTCCACCTACAATCCAATATTTGTGGGCTGACGATTGTCCATCACTTATTAAAATAACATTCCCTCAAGAAATGTCATCACCACCATTTCTGGATAATTTTGGCGCAGAGTCATTGAGCTAAATTGAAGGCAGAATAAAAATTCAAGATATAGCAGAAATTGATGAGCAGATCTTATGCAGCTTAGGGTGGACAAATTTACAACATTTGAAAGATCAGAAGATACGGATACAGGATTCATACTGATTTTCTCCTCCAAAGAAAGACCCAGTCCAGGTATCCTCTTTCTTTTGCTCTGTTTCTATGGATCTCACAGACACATACACTAATATGCTTAAAATTCATACAATCTAATGTTTTAATTGAAGCTGCTTTACGAATTTGGAATATTTAGCACATGTTTTCCTGGGAAAGCAGTTCCAGATTGGCTACCTCATAAAAGCAAGGGTTCATCAATATCAATGTCAATAGCCAGTGTCTTCAATGAATAAAAAGCTACAAGGAATAAATATAAGCTTTGTGCAAACAGGAAAGATAGGTCATTTAAGCATAAAAGTAGAGAACGTGACAACAAATCGCACCTGGATATATTATGGTCATATATTTGCTGTTCCAGAAACTGATGAAGATATAGTATGGTTAAGTCATTGGATGTTTGGGGATAATGAGATTAAAAATGGTGATGAAATTGGTGTTACAATATTAAAAGGAAGGGGAGGTGATAGAGTAATGGTAAGAGAGTGTGCAATCAGTCCAGTGTATAATAATATTGATAAGGACAATAATGAAGAAGATCCTTTGAGTTATTACAAGTCATGGAAATATATTATTGGTGGTGATCTGTCTGCTTTCCAATTATCCTCAGGAGATTACTTTCTAAGCAATTATGGTTTTATTTATCATACCCTTGTATTTAAAAGACCTCTGCTATTATAAACTAATTTTCTAAAGGTACACACTTAATTTAAAAATATTTTTCCATTTCCAAATTTTAATAGGCAAACTAATGAGATTAATTATTGCTCCTTAACATTGAATATTGATGAACTTGCAGATCATGAGTGTTTGTATTAACTGTTGGGTTAATCCAGAAAATACGACGCAGGGTTATTTTCGGAAGTTTTTTTATTTAATAGTTTTTCTTCCAGTTTTTATTTAATAGGACTCCTTTATTTAATATTTCTGTTATTGAATCAGCCCTTTTGAGGCAAGTCGCTCTCAACCTATTTGCAGGCTTTCCTTTGTTTTATAAAGTTTTCTGTTGAGTCTAAATAGATTAATAACAAATGAAAGACCTTATTAAGTTATTATCTTTCCTTCTTTTTCTTTTCCCATCTATGGATATGCTTATATTATCACGACCTAAGAAAAGAAAATTAGATACAGAGAAGCAAATGGGCCTTAATTAAAAGAATAAGATCCTCCTACCTTGGACATAGAAGGGCAATATAACTGTATTACAATTTTCAACAAATGATGGAAATTTTCAAATTTGAGGCCTCGGCATTACATTTCTTATTTCCAATTGTTAATAACAAATGGGCCTTAATTAGAATGGCCTTAATCAATTTTATTTCCCATAAGATGTCTATACTTCAAAAATGAAACAAAAACTAAAATACAACATTTTGTCAGACTATTAACTAAGAAAAATATTTACACTTTCACTATTTATAAAACTCCAACACAAACTCGACCTCAATTTGATATAAGGGTCATCCTTCCACCTGTAAAGTAAGAAAAAAAGAGATACATTGTAATTTATTCACTCCAAATTTGCCACAAAACATACCTGATGTGGTGGAAATGTGGTTATATTTATAATTTTAAACAAAAAGAACATATACCTGATATCATATCAGTGCACTTATCAGGTATCCTCAAAGCCGAATCTTTATTCAGGTATTCTGTTTTCAGCAACTGAAATTAATAAATAAATAAATAAATAGCAACCTACCTTCACTTAGTTGCTCATTTTATCATCACAGATTTTGTGTTGAAAGGTATATGGATCAGAATCATGTCAAGAATTAATCACCTTCAACTCAGGCTCTTACTCGGTAACTAAACCACAAACTTTTCTTTCAATGGGTCGATTTGGGTTAAATTGAAAAAAATTATGTGAAGAAAGTGAGTGTGATAAAATGCTTACAATAACATAAATCCGTTCACTGAGAAAATAATATTATATTGCACCAAAGACCTGTTCTAAAAGTTATCAGGCTTTTTCAGGGGTATTGCGGTTGTTGTATTGGTTCGGGGATACAAGACAGGCGCTCATGTCATGGTTAAAACAAGTTACATTCTTAATGAATCGACTCATCATTCTGGAGTAAAAAGTGTGTATATTGGTAAATAGCAAGCTTTTGGTGTAAAATAATATTTGATTAGTAGTTTAGTCTACATTTCTTTTCATTACGTATCATCATTATTTGTCTACAATTTCATCACATTTAAACACACCTCGTATGTTAGAGCTCATTTGAGAGTTTTTGGTGGATCCACACAAAATAGAAACAACTTAGTTGGATCGTTGCCCATTAATTAATGATTAAATAAACAAAACATAAATTCCAACTTAGTTGGATCATCATTTGGGTTCAATTGGTTGGTGGCCAACAGAAGGCTTTGCGTTTGATGCTGACGTGGCAATCCGTGTCTGCGTGTCGTGTATTCGTGTTAGACACGAATTTACACGACACAAATTTGTTAAATACGAACACGACACGAATTATAAAACGTGTTTGGGGTATCAAACACGAACACGACACGTAAAAAAATCGTGTGACACGTGATACGACAGGAATAGATATGTTTTTTTTATCCGTGTTACACGTAAACACGAATAAACACGTTTTTAATTACTTTTTTTAAGCTAGGGATATAAACTAATTATTGAATTTTATGTAAATGGTCCCTAACATATTATAAATATAAAATTTAACCCTAAAATATATACGTGTATATACATGTTTGTATGAGTTTGTACGTGTCACGTGTCAACATGAATTTGTATCATGTCTTATACGTATCTAAATAGGTAAATTCATGATTGACACGTGTAAGACACAAAACACAAATTTAAAATACGTGTCAGACACGAATAAACACGAAACACGGATTTCTAAAACTCATAAACGGAAAACTCGTATCGTGTTCGTGTCGTGTATCAAATTGTCAGGTCTAGTTTGATGCCATGGTCATTAGAATTTTTATAATTTCAAGTTTTTTATTTTTTCGTAAACCTTCCTTAGCTTGCTCTAATTCAGTAATTTGTAAGGATATCCCCATTCATGAATATATGATGAGCCAGTTAGGTGAAAAATGAAAAAGAAAATTAAAAGGTCCCAAAAGCCACCGAAGGGCGAAGAGAATTCATCCCAAAACATCATTCAAATGTTTTTTATTCGTTGTTTTGTCTGCATGTTTGCGAAATGAAATACAAGATTTGATTTTTTCAATAAAACTTAATCTTAGAAAACCTCAAAAACGATACGTAGACTAAATTATAGTTTTGGTCCCTATAGTTTGGTTAGATTCATATTTTTAGTCAATGACTTTCGGTTCAATTTTTTTAGTTTTAGTTTTTTTTTTTTTTTATATTGTGTCCGAATGGCAAATGATAATCAAAATTCTTATAACTCAAACACACGTGTCAATGTTTTCAGGTTCATTTTTTATTTTAGAAATTTTGTTCGTTTTCGAATTATATTGTTTCAGATTATCCATTATACAACTTGAACCCATTTTTTGAAATTCGGTTAACCTATCTATTAATCATATTAAAAAAATAAATTTGTACCTAATCTATGTTAAAAATATTTACACTTAATGAACTTTTTTTTTTTGCATTTTTTATAAAAAATATTTTAATATATAATTAAACAAACAAAATGTCAAAAAAAAAAAAAAAAAAGCTAAAATGTATTCAAACGATTGGGCAAAAACTAGAAAAAATTATTCAAAAAAATATAAACGAACAAAATGTAAAAAACATTAAACAATATATTCCAAAAATGTCGAATAAAATCTAAATAATAAAAAATACAAATAAAAAATGTAAGCAAAATAATATATATATATATATATATATATATATATATATATATATATATATATATATATATATAATGGTAAAATGGTCTTACTAAATGGACTAAAGATATGCAGTGTAATTTTCTTTAAACCTTTAAACCATAAGGATGCATTTTATCAAATTTTCAAAGATTAAACTGAAAATACAAATTTGATCAAATCACAAGGACCAAAACTGTAAACAATTTCTCATCTCCTAGTAATGTACGAAAAAAGACAAAATAGCAAAAATATCCCACTTGCATTCTTATCTAGTTTTGTTGCATATTTGGTCTATTTAAACTAAAAAGACTATTATACCTTTATATTTTATTTTAAATGATTTTTAATATTTATTAATTATTAATTAGAAAGGTCTCTCTCTTGTTAAACACTTCCAGAAAACTGAAAAATAATATTTGTTCCTCTCCGTCACCAGAAACACAAAACACACACATCTTGTGTGTGGTGGTACGATACTGAGAGAACACAAGGGGGGGGGGGGGGGGATAGAGTTTGTAACAAATAACCATCCACCACCAACCAAAACCATACTCACCACCTTAACCACGATCATTACTATCGAAGCCGCCAATACCTTTCCTTAACGTCATCATCACTGATAGTTTCTCTACATTTATGTTTCTCTCTGTAGAACATCGCCAACACCAGCATCTCGCAACTAACAAAACGCTACCATGGTTTCTCCTTCTCTGATCTCTAGTGAAACCCTAGCCTCTATCGTTCTTGATTTCTATTGAAACCCTAACTGTCGTCGTCCTTCTAGATCTCTAGAAGTGGCTCCCAAACCTATTTTCCAACGAGGTTTTGGGTGGTTATATTTTGGGGGGGGGGGGGGGGGTTTACATCGAGGATAAGGGTGTTGATCTTGACTGCAATGGTTGGCCAACTTTGCAGTTGGACAGAAAACATATGTATTTACATACGTAACATATATTGGTGTCATGTTAGCAATTTACATGTAATATCAGGCTAATTACCGTAATTGGTACAATATTGTAAGTACATTGTTAGTTAAAAATTAAAGT